TAAAGTTCCATTCCAGCCTAAACCTTAGTATGATTCTACAACAAGGGCAAAAAAAAGAGCTAAAAAATTTTGAACACTTAGGGATTTTTGGAGTTAAGGTCCTGCTCAATTTTTTTCCTGTTTAGTTTTAGGATTTTTAGCACTGGCAATACATGTATTTTTTAAAGCTCTTTGGCTTCTGGTCTGTTAGACATTATGGTGCTGCCCATTTCCTCTCAATGTGAAGTATAGCAATTTGATGATTGTAGAGGAAGATGAGTATTTGATCTATTTGTGTGACTTGTACGGCTTAAGAATTGAAGTAAAAAGTACTTGTCTTAAATACATTACAAAATTGTTACAGCTGGCTATAAAGTGCTTGCCTTAGTCCTCCTAATACAGATTATTAATTGACATATATTGAAGCAAATTCCCTAAAATAAATGCTGTAGTGCCTTTCTAGTCAATGGAGATGTGTACTTGAAGCCTTTAGGCCAAGCTCTTGTCCAAGTAGCTGAACTTTCTCAAGGTACTTGTTTTTATCCGTGGGTTATCTGTGGAACTTGCATTAGTAGGTCTGATTTACTAGACCCCCCAAAACAGTGTAGCAAGAAATTATATATTTGATTTAGGCAGAGTGAATCCCAGTCACTGCACCGTGGGGAGGTGCACAGCATTAGTGTTTTTGCCTGCATCTGGTGCCAAGGTCAAGGGCAGAGTTAACCATCTTTTAATGTGCACAGTAAAATTAACCTGAAACTGCATTTTGCAATGCACAGTTTTTCTCACTATTAATATTATAGGGCTGTAATAAGGTGGATTTTTTTTAAGAATCTTTCTAAATACTGTTTATCTTTTAAGAAACAATGCCATTGAGCCTATAAAACTCATTAATTCCTTTTTGTGTGTGTGTGTGTGGACAAACTGTTATGTTTTTGAATGTTCAGATGTTCTGTGTTAGTTTTCTTTGCACTTTTACTTTCCTACCTGTCCTGATGAGGAAAGTTTGCTCTCATGTGTGGGGTGCTTTTATTGACTTCAGCTGTTGTGTTTAGAGTGTGTGTGTGTCTGTTCATCATGTCAGATGAATAGCTGAGCTGGCTGATCGCTGTGTCAGCAGGCTAAGTCCCTCTTCCCTGTCTGTAATTCTCCAGCTCTAAACACACTTGACAGCTAGCTGGTGACCTTAGGAAGTCTTTTCATCTCTGACTCCACAAGTGGTAGCGTGACTACTGGAACAATGTTTTGGCAAGGATAGTAATAGCTTAAGCCACATTGAGTTTAAAAGCAAACATCTAAATGCATTTGTCCAAATGACAAAGACAAGTCACAGTTCAGGAAGTCTCATGCACAGCTGCAGTAACTGGGACATGAGCAGCCACTGTTGGGCTTATCTTCTTCTGGTTTCCAAATAATTTTCCCCAGATCTCTTTGTTTAAGTTGCAGAAGCTGATGTCTAGTGTTTAAGTGGATGCCAGGAGCTGGCAAAACTGAGGATAACACATTTCTTTATGTACAGTAAAGATGTTTTGTTCCATCCATCAGCAAAACATCCCAGCATTTTAAAGAAGATCATGGTCGATTGCATCAGAAGTGCAAAAATAGAAAATGAAGTATTGTCAGATTTTTAGTGGGTAGAGTAGTCTTTTAGAACTGATGGATTCCCTTGTTCTGCTGAGAGCAGCCTCGATGTGTGGGTGTATCTGGTGCTCATCCTAAGAGCCTCACTTGGAGCCCAGCAACCTTTTGCTGCACATTTGTTGTCACTTGAAGAAGACTTAGCTCTGGGCATAACAGTAGGAAGTGGGGGTTTTGATAAGGTAGAAGAGGCTGCTGTGAAACAAACCCAAGACTTCTCTGTGTTATGCTCCTCTTTTTTTTTTTTTTTTTTTTGGTTTTGTTTGGTTTTGGGGGGTTTTTTCTTCTCTGTGTTATGTTCCTCTTTTTTTTTTTTTGTTTGGTTTGGTTTTGTTGTTGCTTTTTGTTTGGTTTTGTAGGGGGTTTTTTGGCTTTGTTTTGGTTATTTTCTTTTGGTTTGGTGCAGGTTTTTTTGGGGTTTTTTTGGCTTTGTTTTGGTTATTTTCTTTTGGTTTGGTGCGGGTTTTTTTGTTGTGGGGTTTTTTTTTTGAGGGTTTTTGTTTGTTTGTTTTTTTTTCTAGGGAGAGTGAGGGTTGGAGTGCAGCAGTCATATTTTGGATCAGGTTCTTTGCAAGAATTGTATGCCACTTGCATTGAAAAGTTGAACAAGGCTTCCAGGGCAGTGTTTCTGTAGCCCCTTGGCTCCAATCCATTAAAGATTGTTCATTTTAAAAATTGTTCCTCTAAAATTCATGGTGCTTATAAGAGACATAATTCTGACAAGAGCTTAGAGAGAGAAGTCACTTGAACATCCTGGTGAGCCCTGATGGGAATGACATATGCTTAGAATAGCCTTCTGCAATGCCTAAGAAGAAAGCAAAATGTACATATTCCAATTCTGGCTCTTCAAAGCCTGGGTCCATGACAGACCATGTGCAAGAATAGTAGAAATGGACACTGGCCCTTGTGAAGGCACTGTTACAGTTCATCATTAAACACAGGAAGATCCAAAAGAGACTCAAGCTTGAATGAAGTCTTACTTCTGCAGTATCCTTCCCCACTGGGTGAAGGAGCAGTTAAAATGTGTCCATTTCAAATGGGAAAATGAGAACAGTTTTCTCCACCAGTGTCTTGTCTCTGCAGCCTTCCCAGTGAGCTGTCACGCCAGCTCACACCAGGCTGCATTTGAAGTGGTGGTTTCTTGGTTGATATGAGGCCAAATGCCTCAGCTGCTCATAAAAATGATTCAATGCAAATCAATGAGATTTTCTAGACACATGCAGTTAATGTTTCGACAAGCAGCAGCAGATGAAATTGCTGTGTCAGATTGTATGGCAAAGAGAGCTGTAGCCCTTGTTCAGAAAATTCTATGCCTGGAGAGTTTTCAGACCTTCCCATTTCAATTATCTGAAAAATTCTGCTTTCAAATCAACTTTGGAATGTTCAGAGTCTTTGTATGCCAGTCTTTTTTTGACATTGATTTACTTGTTTAGAAGAATCAAAGATGAAACATGGTGTTTTCTACCCCCCAGCAAACCTCAGGAGACAAGTTACTGCTACAGACTTTGCTCAGGTTCTGCAACTGTCCTAATCTATATAACTGTATATTAGGATAAGAGGTCATTGCTGCCATTCAGGTCTTTCTGAGAAACTTTTTGCTGGATGCTGTGTTTGCCCAAGCATGGTCATGCATATGTGGATGCATTTTGGCTTTCCAGCTGGTTTTGCAAGGAGAAAAGCTGCTGCCTTTCCTACATGGACAGTTTGTCAGAATCCCAGAAAATGTCTACATTGAAGCATGTCAAATCAGAAGAAAGTTTTTCACCTAAAGGATAGTTGGGCAGTGGAACAGGCTCCCCAGGGCAGTTGGTCACAGCACTAGCCTGACTGAGTTCAAGAAGCATTTGGACAATATCTCAGGCACATGGTGCATTTCTTGGGGTGTCCTATGCAGTGCCAGTAGTTGGACTTGATGATCTTTGTGGGTCCCTTATAACTCAGTACCTTCTGTCAGTCCAATAACAGTGAAAAAAGCAGCTTGAATTTTGCAGCACAGTTTGATTCAGCAAATCAAATTTTTAAAAGGAATAGTTTGATTCTGCTGTATAAAAAAGCATTCCAGTGAAGCACAGCAGCTTCCATCTCTCTCAGCCCACGTCTGCCATTTTTGCCCCCACTCTCTAAAGAAGTCTATGTCACCCAAAGGATGTAGTCCTGGGCTTTTGGCCAATATCCTGAACTTGAATTCCCACGCAGAAGAGCATTTACTTAGGAAAATAATATGTGGCAGCCAGTAGGCACAATACTACCTCTGCTGCCAGAATGTACTGACTGTAAATGAAGCTGTGACAGATGGCCTGAAATGTTTCAGCGCTTTATTTCTCTAGACCAGGATTACCTAATTAATTTTTACTATGGTGCACTGGGTTGTTTTACCAGGTTCTGGTCTGACACATTGAATGCATGGGATCTAAGTTTGCTGGACTAAGCAGGGTCTACATGTGGGGTAGGGGCCGTTTTCCAACAAATCCCTGGGACAGCAGGCTCCTGGTGGGACCAGATGAGGGAGAAGAAATATGGGATCAGCCCTCAGGACACCAGGAACAAGGTCTGCTGGAATGAGAAGAAATGGACTCCTGATTCAAATTGTGACTGAATTTACTGAGCAATCCTGTTTTAGAGAAGAGTAGTATTTTACTTGATAGTGAAGCTTCTATATGCACTATACCTACAGAAGTAGCTTTCTTTTACTGCTTATGGAGTGTTGTTCTTGTGCATGGTCCTTGGTAGACAGGGCATGGTAGGACATTTTTTTATTGTGGTTAGAGAAATGCATAGGTGAACAAAAAGGTTATTTTCCTTAAGAAAGTTGTGATGCACAGGCAGATTTGATATAGCTTAGGTGAAATATATGGGGAAGAAAGAGTTAAATGTGTCATTAAATATTTCATATGTTGCATAGAAAGAGGCCAGTGCAATCATTTTTAGTTTGGTAGAGAAAAATGAGCAGCTATCATTTTGCTAGGTTTATTAGGAGTGACTTTGAAGTGTAACCTAGTAAATACAGCCTATCAAACCGGAATTAAACCAGCTGCATATTACTTGAATTGCTCAAGGAAAAAGTCCTTGTCTGTTCTATCCTCCTCTCTGGGTACATGTTTTCACTCAGTTAAGAAAAGTCAGTGGAATTGCATTTAAAAGTGTTGTCACTTCACAGTCTGTCACAGGGCTTTTGCCAGCTCCCTTCAAAAAGGAGTTGGTGCCTAGAACTGTGCCAGCTGGTTGATCTGATCATCCCGATGCTTTACTAGAAAATCTAAATATACAGCAGTACGAGCTGAAATGTGTCTGCTGTCCTGTTTTGCAACTATTCTGCATTTGAATGAAGAACTACTTTCTCATGGAAGCAGTACTGAAGCTCTCTCTATCTTTCTGTTCTATAGGTTGTCATTTTGTATTTTGAGCCAAGTATATTTCGCTGTGTTCTCCTAAGATGGGTTCGTCTTCTGGGCTTTGCTACTGTTTATGGAACTGTGACACTCAAGCTGCACAGGTATTTCACATATTAATTTCCATATCTGTGGGAGTATGTGCAATATGTGTGGGTACTTAGATGGAAGAACTGCAAATATTATCATAAACAAGTGCCGTTTCTGATTTTAAACCCACCGTGTATTTCTCCTCAATTTTGCTGCTCAAATTATATGCTACTAATCTGAGTTGAGAGCTATGAATGCTGACAGGATTTGATAAAAAATATGTATACATTAACTGTTAAATTGTGCAAGAATCCCTTTTCAAAGGAGGTGAATGTGTTTTCCTTGAATATAGAAAATACAGAAGTATTCATAGAGTGTTCAAAAGCTTCTCTGTGAAGTGTTCATAGAGAGATGCTTTTGAAGAGTTTAGACACAGCAATGGTGGGTAAAGCAGTGTGTGTACTTAGTGTGTTTTCATATGGCTCTTATGTCAAGGGCTGTTTTCTTCAGGCAATCATAGCAGACAAGCTACACACTCACAAGCATCAGTACCTGTCAGCAAAAATATGAGGCAGATTCTGGGTTCCGTGGGGTTGTCAGTGCATTCACATGTGACTCAGAGATTTAAGATTTAGAGGCCCAACTTAAATTCCCACTTCAACAGTCCCCTTAAAAATGGAAGCCTTTTCTGTGTATGCTGGAAAAAATCCTTCTTTAAACTTTAATGAAAAAAATTACTGATACATTCTGTAAGTATTCAAGCAAAGAGATAAGCAGTATATTGATACTTGAACATATTGGATGGAGTATGGTCACTCATCTTTTTATCTTCATTTCATTACTGTGTTGGCATGTTAGATAGAGGAAGTTTGATATTATGCTTATAAACTGAATGAGAACTAAAAATATCTTGTCTTTCCTGATGCATTATTGACTTGTCACATATTATGTGGAAACCCCTGTTTTCCCATTAAAACAGAGCTCCTTCTTGCAGCTCCCTTTAATTTGTGTTCCTAGTTGCAAGTGTGCACTTAGGCTAGTAAACTGTAATTGTAAAATGCTGTGCCTGGCCACATCTTTGCATTGAAAATGACCAAGAAAATTCCACACGCCCATAGTGTTTTCTGGGATGAACAATTTCTGATGCAAAAAGTAAAACAAGTAGAGCAGTAGAGAAGAGAGGGAGCTGGTGACTTTGCTTGGATGCTTTGTTATCTATAGCTCAGATAGATAAAAAGCCTGAGACTGTGGGTGGCTCATGTTGTCACTGCAGTTCTGCTATCCTAACAGATTCTTTATATGATTGTACATGATATGAGGAAGCAGCTATCCTGACAGGACAATTGATCTTCCATTCATATTAAATGAGGATAGGTTGCAAAATTGGGCAGAAAAGTCTTCTGCTTTGCTCATTCAGCTTTTTGGTGTTACTTAGCACCTGTGCTGACAGGGTCAACAAAACAGACAAAATTGAATAAGAAGCCAAGAATACACTACATCCTCATCCTTGATCATCACAAAGCAAGGAAGGATAGCAGCAGACTGGACTTCATCAATGGGACAGTAACCTGAAGGCTGAGGGAAGTGATTATTCTCCTTTACTCATACCATATCTGCAATGATGTGTCCAGATATCAGTGAACTTAGACGAGTTAGTGAAAGGCCATCAAAATGGGCTTTGAGCACCACATCAAAAAGGCCATCAAAATGGTTGGGGCTTTGAGCACTGGTCCTGCAAAGAGGGGTTGAGATAGCAGGGCTTGTTCAGCATGAAGAAAATGTAGCATTGGAGGGACCTAACATGGGCTATCCAACACCTACAGGGAGGTGAAGCCAGGTTCTTTACAGCAGTGTATAGCAGGAGAACAAAAGACTGACAAATTTAAATAGGAGATTTCAACTTTACACAATATGAATGAATATCAGGGGCAATGTTAAATGAGGAAAGCATTTTCAGTGTCATTGCTTAAGCAGTGCAGCTGGTTGCTCATGGGGTTATGAATTTCCATACTTGGAGGTTTTCAAGACCCAACTGGATAAAGCCCTGAACAACCTGGTCTGGATTCCCTGTTAGTCCTGCTGTGAGAATTGGCTGCCCTTCTGAATAATTCTGTATTTCTTTGTGTAACACAAAGAGGGAAAAAAACTATTTAGTATGTTAATCTAGAAAGGGAAAAAAACTATTTAGTATGTTAATCTAGAATTACTTTGTCTAGGAGTCTATCTTTTATTTTCTACCCAGATATCCTGACCATTTCTTTCCTACATTAGTAATATTCTGGTCTTTTTTGGTTGTGAAATCTCAGTCCCAGAGTGTGCCTTGCAAAAGACTGAGTCAAGTTAGATATATATTTTATTATACACATTCACAGCAGTTATGCTGTTAGAAACAATGTGATGTTAATAGAAATTTGGTAGAAAATTTTGGCAGATCTAATTTAATCCACAAGTCGTACAAGGTTGAGGAATGGCTTATTGCAGACGTGACAGATACTCCTGACAAGCACTGGTTCCCTCCTGCAGTTAGGCTGTGCCCTGCCTGGGGGAAGAACCAATTGCCAGCAAGGAACCTGTGATTTTTCTGAGTTAAATGGGAAAACCAATATTGTGTAAAGGTAACTGTTACGGATAATGAGAAAGTCTAATGCTATAGTTCTCAACAAATGAGATGCTTTGAGTAGCAATGGAGCGTGAAGGTTAACCAAAGCCAGGTAGGAGTCACTGGACACGCCTGGGGTTTTTGTAGCTTTTAAAATTTTCCTGTAGCTCCTCACTTCCTGAGGAGTTCTCAGAGGTTTTGTTAGGGTCAAGCATCAAGGGGAAATCAGAAGAGAAGTCAAAAGCAGATGCTTAAGGAAGAGTAAAAGAACAGGGAAGTCATGTACTGATTCATTCTTGGAACACCTGTCACAGACAATTTCTACAGTGCCTCATCCTTAATTGCCTCTTTCTTATTCACTGTGCATTTTTTAAATAACGAGCTGATGTTTATGGGGGTGGAAGGATAGGGGCATGGAAATGAGCTTAATTTAAGAAATCTAGCTGAAGAGCTATGAACATAAAATACAATACTTTCCTTAACAATGACTTTTTCAAAACAATTCTCTCAAGAAATAATAATGTTTCAAATTTAACCTTTTGGGTTTAAAGGACCTGATGTGGCACCTTTCAGTATATTTCTGTAACTGAAGACTCTCTGTGTCCTTTCTCAAGCCCTGTGTTTTATGAACAGGTTATCTCATTACTATTAATATTGTGCGAACTTCTGTCACCTCCATGTCAGGATTGATACAGAATCCTTAATTCTGGACTAAAGTGTAAGAATGAAACAAAGTAACATACATACATACAGACAAATGTATCCACTTATGTGTGTATACATAGGATAGTTTTCAGATATTTTAGGAAAAGGAAACTCAGGAATGGGGTCTCTAGTTTATGGGAATCTCCATTTCTGATATTAGTAAGAGAAAAAATGGAAAGTGGGAAAGTGAGGAGGATGAGAAGGTATGGGGAAGGTGATGTTTCAGGTATGAGAAACATGACAATGACATAATGCACACTTTTTTGTAAGCAGTGATGGTGGGATGGGAGTATTAGTGGAAGGACAAGATGTTAACACTATGATGCAATTCTGCATTTTATCTAAATGCTGTGCTGAGATTATATTGCTGTGCTTTGCCATCTGGTACAGTTGAAGCAAGTAGTGGACCTTCCTACAGGTTTTGGAGGTGGTAAAGAAAGGAGTAGAAAACCAGTGTGGGTAGTGTGTGCTTGTTTAGAGGCATGTTTTAGTGGGGGACATGGATTAGTGACTCATTTGGCAGTGTTAGGTTTATGGGTGGACTTGATGATCTCAAGGGTCTTTTCCAGCGTAAACAATCCAATGATTCTGTGTTTCTCTGGGTTGTGATTCAATATCTTACTGAAGAGGAGACTCATGCCAGCAGAGAGCCCAAAGAAGATGTCAGTTTGCTTGTTTAAGCATCAGTGGCGAGGACATGGTGTCCTGTTCCAGCCAGGACAGGGTTAAAGTTGGCCACATCAGCCAGGAGGGGCACAGCCAGGACCCAGGGTTATTGGATATGCCTCACACCATGTGCAGGGGGAACCAAGGGCGGGGTGGGTGGCACATGGGGACCACTTGCCTGTGAATCATTCGCCTAACTTGTGCACTCTGGTTTTAGTATTGCTTGTTGTTTCTTTTCTTATTTCATTGCTGTTTTGCTAAATTGTTCTTATCCTGTGATTTTTACCTTTTTGTGCTTACACTTCTTCTCTTCATCCTGCCACAGGGGGAGGTGGGAGGAAGTGAGCAAGCAGCATGTGGTCTGGGGTCTTACAGTGGGAACACTAAATTTGGGAATACCATTCCTAACCACAACACATGGCATATATGACCTCCCCTAGGTCAGCTGGGGCTGGGAAAGAGGATACAGATGACCTTGTCTAAAAGTGTCTGGTGGGAATGTGGTGCAGAAAGGGGCAGAAGGTACCGTGGCAGCTGGAACCTGTATGGCTGGATTGTTGCATGGCCAATATTTCACAGGTCATAGGGCCGGTGGGTGACAGTTCCATAGTGCCAATACGCCACTACCCAGTGGATCCATGGAATGGAACACTAGTGGTGAAGCACTGCAGAGAGAAGTTTTGTCTCGGAGGAGTGGTTACTGTGTAACTCAAATTGGCAAGCAAAGTGAGATGAGCATCATCTGTAACATTGAACAACCCTGTTTTTTGAAATGGTTCAGGCCCTCATGGTTTGGTTGGTTAAGCACTCAAAAAAAGTAGAGGATTTACTTCCTGTTGAATTATCCTTTTTTTCTTGTGGAAGGTGAGAGTGAAATGCCTTTAGACAGATGCATTCACTGTTGGAATTTGCCACTGGATGTGGTCCATAGTGATTTCTGTAGTTGTTGTTACCTCACATAAAAGGAGGAAAAATTGTTTTCAAGGCAGATGTTACTGTTGCAGAAATGGAGTGTACAGAGTTCTGGTCTGATACTGCCTTGTTGAATTGCCATTGCTTGGGATTTTACTGCTTTAACTGCAGTAAAAACCCATTGCTTGGGTT